TTTTTCATTAGATTATTGTTATAATCATTTCCATTATCATTATCATTGTTGTTGTTACTATTATTATCATCATTACCATTATCATTACTATCAATATCATTATCATTATTATTCTCATTTTTGCCGTTATCATTATCATTATATGATAGTATCAACTTCTAGTAATAATAGAAATAATCATGATGATAATAACAATTATAACAGCAATGATAACAACAATAACAATAATGATAATAACTGGATAAAAAAAAAAAAAAATCATGAGCGAATACCAGGACTAAAAGCGGGGACGAAAAGTGATAATTCTCCAAGGGTGGCGGTGGTGGTGGGGGGGGGGGGGAGTTCGACCTTGGCTTCGGCCCCAATAGAGGCGTCAGACAAGATCGGCCTACATGTATATTTTTTTCTCTCTCTTTTTGTCTTATATCACTGCTCTTATTTATTTAAGATTTATCCTCTAATTGGAAGGGTCTGATGATTTTGGATTAATTTATTTGGATATTCTTATAAGGAATCGTGAGCTAGATTGTTGACTTTGATACGTGTGTTTGCGTGTGTGATAAGATGATAAAATTACGTAATTGTGACACATACCATATATGTAGTGCGCATAAACCTCCCTCTCTGTCTGCCTGTCTTTATCTTGCTCTCTGTCTTTCTCTGTCTCTGGCTCCCTGTCTCCCCTCCTCCCCTCTCTGTCTATCTATCCGTCTTTCTTTCTCCCCCCTCCCCCCCTTTATCTCCTATTTCTCCACGTCTTTCTCCCTCTCTGTCTTTGGCTAAGCTTAACAGGCAATCGTTGTTTCAAGAAAGAAAATGCAACTATAACAACTATTACTGCTAGAAACATTACTACTATTACTGTTACTACTACTAGTAGTACTAGTATTACTACTATTACTATTGACAATTACTACTACTACTACTAATATAGCAATAATAGTGGCAAAGACAATGCTACTCATAATGGAAATAAATAAGAAGTATAATGATGATATCAATGATGAAAATAGAAATAACACAAGAACGGTAGAAATGATAATAGCGCCAACAGGAGATTCAATGACAAGGGTGACAAAAAGTGATCAAGGAGAATAGGTTCCGTAGGTCTGGTTCGACAAGACGGGGCAGTCGTACGCACGAAACTACTTCGGTAAGTAGTCATTTGCCGATAACACGACCACTTGAATCTCGCAACAGGGAGAGAGAGGCAAAAATAAGCTTCCCTAAAAGAAAGAAAGAAAGAAAACAAAAAGAATTGGGAAAGACAAAAAGTTGCAATGCCGTTAATTGTACTTTCTGAAGGGCAGTCGAAGCCGGGGGTGGGGGGGGGCGGGTGGTAACGAAGGTAGTTAATGTATTGTATTTGATGTGAGATTGAAGTAGCTAATGAGTCAGCAGTTTGGCAGGTTAGTGACTGTAGAATCGGGAATTTTCGGATACTGAAAGCAAATTCTTGGCAGGATTGTTAGAAAGAATTGTGCGAGGCTCGACCCAAAGAGTATTCGTACACTTGACATGCATAAATAAAGAGATAAATGCATATTTATCATTCTAGACATACATATCAACCTGGCAAATAGACAGTTAAATTTATATCAGATATATAGACAGATATGCCTTTATTTCTGCGTCTGCATTTATGAAAATTAATTAGGTCGGGCCTGGCACAATTTTAACAAACCGGCCACATGTTAGTAGTTCTTTTGTAACCGTCACGATATTATTTTTTTAAATCTTTTTATCTCAATTTACACTATCTATAATTCACAAAGCTACCCTCTGGAATAAGATATTAATATTACTAACTAACTTAATATACAGAAAGACGTTTTGATCGTTTAAGAGATAATTACCAAAGGCATATTACTCTCTGATTCAGATAAAAGTTATACTTCCCAGTAATGTGGCGACCATGGCAGATAACATAGATCTGCGAAATAATATAGTGCATAAGTACTTCTTACTGACGATGTTCATTTTAAAAAGAAGGCAAAAAGAGAGAAAAAAAAACTTATTGCTCCTGGCTACTATGCGGTATGAAGCACGTAATTTATTTTTACGTACAACCTACACATCGATTCTTGGCCTTTGAACTTAAACTACGAGACACTTTGAACTTTACACTCTGGTATGAATGACATATGACCTACGTTAGTGTAGCTCGAGATCTGAGAGCAAATTTAACATATGGCGATGACGTATTCGAAGAACTAGGTTTAGCGTGGAATATTTTATTTGTTATAATTGCAGTCTATAGTGCAATGATTTATTGCACTGTTAGACTGTTATAAGCACCGGCTTGTACGAGGCTAACCTTTTTTATCCGTTCTCTCTCTCTCTCTTTCTACTTCTTTCGTTCTCTCTCTCTCATTTTCCTCTTTCTCCCTCTCTCTCTCCCTTTCTCCCTTTATTTCGTTCTCTCTCTCTCTCTATCTATCTATTTCTAGATGCGAGGTGTACCTGGCCTACAAAACATACTTCTACCACTTTTGGGCTGTCGAACCTCAATTTCAATCGTAACAGTCAACCCCCGAATGGAAACATATAACTAGCCCCCCCCCCAGGGATCACAATTTTTTACTTTTTAGATAAAGTAAGACCTATCTAGGTCCGGTTAAAGCTTCAAAATGTTCCCAGAGTTTTTTTTTTTAACAAATTTGGTTCGCTCGCTTGCCTACCTGCCTTTACCCCCCCCACCCCCTTAGCCCCCAAGAAAAAGTTGAAATGACGCCCCTGTAGGTAATTTGTGAGTATACAAAAACATGGGTTTTATTACCTGTAGAAAAAGAACCACATATCTAAGAATTTGTAAGCTAGCATATCTTGTTGGATTGTGGTTATTTCGCTTTCTTCCTCCTTCCTCTCTGTCTGTCTGTCTGTCTCTCTCTCTCTCTCTCTCTCTCTCTCTCTCAATTTCTCTGTCTTCCTGTTTAGCAATGTGGTGTCTCTGACTGTTAGTTTATCTGTGTGTATGTGTGTATGTCTGGCTGGTTAGATCTCTCTCTCTCTCTCTCTCTCTCTCTCTTGTTCTCTTATTCAATTTCTCTGTCTTTGTTTAGCTACGCGTCTCTCTGTTAGTTTATCTATGTGAATGTCTGGCTGGTTATATCTCCCCTCCTCCCTCCATCCCTCTCCCTGTCTCTCTCTCTCTCTCGTCCTCTCTCTCTCTCTCTCTCTCTCTCTCTCTCTCTCTCTCTCTCTCTGTCTTCATCTCGGGTCTTATCTCTCTCTCGGCTCTCTCCTCTTCTCTCTTGAGCATTATGTTTTTCGTTCGTCTCTCCTCGTCTGCTCTCATCTTTCCTCTCGATCTCTCTTCTGTTCTCGTCTCTCTCTCGGTCTGCTCTCTCCTCTCCTCTCTCTCTCTCGAGTCGTCATTCCTCGGGTCTCTCTCTCGTCTCTCTCTCTCTTCGATTCGTCTCTCTCTCTATCTCTCTCTTCCTCTCATTCCTCTCTCTCCTCTCTCTCATCATTCTTCGGTCTCGTACTCTCCTCTTCCTCCTCCTCCGGGGGCTCGCTCTCATCTAGATCCACACAGAGGACAATTTCTCAGTCGGCGGTTCGCCGCCCTTCAGGCAGTCTCTTCCGTCGGTCCTCGCTCTCTTCGGGCCCCGGGGCGTGCAATACCGTCGGGGTTTGGGGGATCCTTCCGCTCCTGGACCGGCAGCTTCCATGCCGGGGCGGTCGAACGCCTCGGCGTCGCCCGGTCTCGCCGTGAGAGGGTCCATCTTTCGGCTGTATCTTTCCCTCTCGTCATCTCTCTCTCTCTCTTTCTCTCTCTCTTATCCTCCTCTCTCTCGTCATTCTTCACCTCGGGTGCATGCTCCTCTTCTCCTCTGCTCTCCCGCACCACGTAAAGGTGTCTTCTCTCTCATCACTCTCCTCTCTCGGTTCTCACCTACGGCAGTCTTCTCTGCTCTGCTCTCTCCTCCTCTCACGTCGTCTCTCCTCCTGCTCTCTCTCGCATCTCTTCTCTCTCTCTTCTCTCTCTCTCTCCCTCTCTCGGTCTCCTCTCTCCTCCCTCCTCTCTCCGTATCTCTCTCTCTCTCTCTCCATTGCGTCTCGAATAGGCTGTAACGGCACTTCAAGAACGAGTGGGACGCTCAGAGAACTTTTGTGCCAATTATCCCGCTTGGAGGAAAATGGGTTTCGGCGGATATATTTGGGACAAAATGGGGAGTCTCAGTATAGAGAAATCCACGTGCTTTCAGTTCACTTAGTAGGATGGTTATCATTCACTGGAATTACTGATTCTTATTGCTAGTCTTGAGGAATATACTATTCTTGAGAATGGCCCTTGTATATGAGAAAGATACATACCATTCAGTTCTGGCTTTCAGAGAGAGAGAGAAAAAAGTAACACTGAGATATATATGCGGATACTGAATCTAGATTTTTTTTTTTTTTGACTAATCCTTTCTGTGAAAATCTCCTCTCAAAGACTCGTAGTTGTTTTGATACTCCGAATCACACCGACAAATATTTTAATCAGCAACGCACGTGCTCGCCACGCGGACACAGAGCGAAAAACTGGTCCCTCTGCATATCACGCCTCCGTTCTACGTCCGCCCGCAGTCGGATATGCCTTTTGCATCCTTTTGTATCGGTTTGTGCCGTCTATGTCCGCTTCGTTTCTATTCATAGCCATCCACGCCGGTTGTGTCCCTTATATACATATACCATATTTACATATATATATAAATATATATATAATATATATATATATATAATATAACATACATATATATATATATATATATACATATATATATATATATATATATATATATATATATATATATATATATATATATATATATATATGTACACACACACACACACACACACACACACACACACACACACACACACACACACATACATATATATATATATATATATATCCATCTCTACACCCTAACGTTCTATAGGACTATCCCTCTCCGTATCCTAAGACAGCCCAACTTCCGTCTCTTCCGGCAGTCCTCCTCCCTCCGCGG